CCAGAGTGGGAGCCGGACCCCAGGAGACGCTGCCCACTGCCTCCTGTGCCCCAGTCCCTGCCGCCCCAGACCCGCACCCGCACCCAGAGACCCCAGGGTGGGGGTGGGAGGGTGACATTAGCTCACAGCCCAGGGAGCCCTGGTAAGCACACAGATGCAGATTCCCATGGAAACCGAATCAAATCAAATCATCTGAATCACTAAAGATCCAGGTGGAAGAGATGAGAAATAGCCAATCCAACAGGAGAGGCCATTTGGGGCCAGAGCAGGTGTCCCACCTCAGGGCAGGTGGAGTGAGGGGCAGTGCGCGACTCTGCAGACCCAACCCCTCCCACCGGTGACATGGACCTAAAGCTCCAGAATGTGGGGACTGGGTCAGGCTTGGTCACTTAGCTCATCACTGAGCCGTGCAGGGCAAATCTCTTAAACCTTCTCTGGGCCTTGTCTCCTCAACTACGAAACAAGGGTGGCACTAGCCCCTCTCCTAAAGGGCTGATGTGAGGATTGAGGGCATCATGCAGAAGAGGCCAGCGCAGTTTCCAGGGTAGTTAGTATTCAGGACATTGGCGATTATGACCCTTGTAATTATCACATATCTCAGAGTCACATGGGCCAAAATTCAGGGGTATCTTTATAGTAGCCTTTGGGGAGTTTCTTAACATTTCCAGACTGGGACATCTGGGTGGCTCAGCGGTTGAGCACCTGGAGTCCTGGGATCGAGTCCCACATCGGGCTCCCTGCATGGAGCCTGCTTCTCCCTCTGCCTATGTCTCTGCCTCTCTCTCTCTCTCTCTCTCTCTTTCTCATATGAATAAATAAATAAATTTTTTAAAAAATCTCCAGACTGGTTTCTCCTCTGCAAAAGGGAGTCACATTCCCACCCAGGCACGGAAGCCCTGCGATGATTAAGTGGGTGTGCAAATATGCATTTGCTACCTTCTCCCTAACCCTCCTCCCCTCTTGTGGCCTTCCAGGAAGCCTCCCCACCTGGAGCAGAAGAGGAAGGGCTAGATCACAAAGCACCTGCCAGGTCGGATATTCTTGGATTCTAGGATTCTAGCCAAAGAAAGTAAGCTGGAACCCAAAATACTCCCCCCTGCCCAACCCCACTCATCAAATTTGCAAACACAACTGCCTAGTTCCTGATGCCAGAACCTTCTCTGCAAAGTTAGATCAAACCACATCCTTCCTGCAGCCACGGCACCTCAGCTAAGCAAGCCCACCCAGCCCTGTGCTCGGAGGGTCCCAGAGGGTCTCCAGGAAAGGCATGTAAAGAAACGTACCAAGAGTAAGTCACAGAACCTCCCATGCCTGGGTACCAAGTCACTGGCCCAAAAACATCACCCAGGCCAAAACAAACTGCCCGGCCTGAGGCAATGTGAGCCAGGAAGAGATAAAGCCACGATGCCATCCGCTCTGGCAGCTGAGCTGTCTCCTAAGGCAGGCAGCCCGGCGGCTTGGGCACCAGACCCTCCAGCAGCTTCTTACCGCTGAGCCCTGCGCTACGGTGAGTGTTTTGATTCAGAAAGGGGGAAAAAAAATTCTTGACTTCTTTGGGAAAAGAACAAAGCGTCTGCTTGAGTTACTCAAAACACTGAAGCACCAAATATTTCTCAAGAAATAACACTGGCTGCTTTCGGACACACACAGTAAGGCTGCTCGGAGTCCTTAGATTTGACCCCCAAGGAACGACCCAGCCGGGGCCCCATTTCAATGAACAGCAAGGAACCAACTAAATGGAGAGACAAAAGCAGTTTGCCACTGAGGCACACGCGCTCCTGAGCCCTGCCTCTGCTTACCCTCGACGGGCTAAACATTGGCCCACCATGGTACTGTTTGGATTATTTGCCCAGGGAAATTGTTTTCCGATGGGAATTGCAGATATGCTGGCATCGTGTCTGGATTGGCTCTTCTAGGTTGTCACTGCGGTAATGCATTGTGGGTGAGACCCCTGGTTGGGGTCAGACTAGGTCGGATGCAGTCCCTTAGGAAAGCTACGGAAAAGCCTCAGTGTCCCAATCTGCCAAGTAGGGATGATGGTAAAAGTCCCCGGAGGAATCAGCAAGCGCGCATGGTCCCTGGCCTGGACCCACAGAGGACAAGGTGCCGGCAGCAGGCAGGAGACACCTTGCCAGAGCCCCGTGTGAATCCTGAGGTCAGGGAGTGCTGGTACAGGGACGCCCTGCAGCCACCCTTGACCAAGGCTCTGTCATTCTCCGCCTCTGGCCCTGTGGTCAGTAACTCTTCAGGACACAGAGAGCACCCTGCAGTGCATCTTCTGAAGGAACATCCGACAGCAACCCACAGCCATGATTTTGGTGGAGACTGCTAGAAATCGGAGGGAAACCTTCATAAACATCATGAGTCAATCAGGCCTAGGAGCCAAGTGCAGATCATTATAGTTTCGCATAAACAGATAGATTCTTGCAAACAGCCTTGCCAGAGCGTCACTCAGCACTCAGCGTCGGCTCAAATGTTGGGATTCGATGGTTAAGATCGAGCCTATTAACTTTGAGAAGATCTCAGCTCCCCTCGGAAGGCTCGGAATCCAAGTCAGAGGGGCCAGTGCCTGTGATGTTGCCTCTGCGTGGGATGATAGGTCCTTAAGCTTCCCCTGGTCACATGACCGGCTCCATCTGTCCTTCGGGTCCCAGTTCAGCATCATGTCACCTCCTCCAACAGCCATCCCGGACTCCTCAGCCTAAGACAGTGTACCACCCCCACAGTGGGAGCTGCTGTCCTCAGAGCCCCTCCAGTAGCTGGCACTGGCGTGCTGGCTTGATTCCATTCCCCCCACTGCTAGGGAGTCAGAAGCAGTGGTTCCAAACAGGGGCTGTGGAAACACACTGGGTGAGTTCAAACCCCCTGCCGACCCCTTTCCAGCCCTGAGACTTCAGGCAAGTTACTCACCTTCTCTGTGCTGCGGGCTCTCCGGCTGCAACACAGAGGAAGGGATGGCTGTGAGCACGCCCTGAGCAAAACACGCGCCGCACTCAGAGCGATGCCTGGCACATATTCAGTGCTCCATAGTGCTGAGCGATCGGTTTGGAATCTAAGTCCCTGAAAACAAGGATCACTGCCTGTCACGCTCCCCACTGTGTGCCCAGCACCTAAGACAATGCCAGGCACAAAGCAGGCATTTGTTAAAGGAATAAAGGGATGCATAATCAGAAAAAGGCTCCGAATAAAGGGATGCATGGTCAGAAAAAGGCTCCCACCTCACGGGACAGCTCTGGGATTAGTCCCAAGGGCCCAGCCCGGCCGGGGGTGCACACCGCGGTAGGACTCACCCCATCCCTCCCAGGCCCTGGTCCAGCTTCCCTTCATGGTCACCACTAGGCTGACGTCCTGGGGATGCAGCGCCCCTGCCCGGTCCAGCCTGGGCAAACTTCAAGGCTAGGTGGGGGGGTCTGGGCTGGCAGTTGGGGCCCGAGGTGCTGTTCTCTGCTCTCCCAGCTACCTGCGCCTGGAGGTCGGAGCACCTAACAGTGCTTTGCCAGCTGCCAAGAGCGATGCAAACGGGGGGAGTTATCTTCACGGGAAACGGATAAACTACGCTCTCAAGGTCTCTCCGAATTAATAACCAAGGTTTAAAAGATCTACAGTGGGGGTCCCTGGGTGGCTCAGCAGTTGAGCGTCTGCTTCAGCTCAGGGCATGATCCCAGGGTTGTGGGATCGAATCCCACACCGGGCTCCCCGCAGGGAGCCTGCTTCTCCCTCTGCCTGTGTCTCTGCCTCTCTCTGTATGTCTCTAATGAACAAATAAATAAATATTTAAGAAAAAAATCTACAATAATCCTGTGATCCAACAATTCTGTTTCTGGCCGCGTACGCAAAAGGACGGAAAGCAGGAGTTCCCAAACAGATCCCCGCACACCCATGTTCACAGCAGCACTCTGCACGAGAGCCAAAACGTGGAAGCAGCCCCAGGCGCCCACGGAGACATGAACGAATAAACAAAACGTGGTCTGTGCCTACAGTGGAAGAGTCTTCAGCCTTAGAGAAGAAAAAGGGAATTCCGACACCTGCTGCAGCACGGGGGAGCCTTGAGGATATTGCGTTCAGTGAAAGAAGCTAATGACAAAGACAAACACTGCCCGATGCCACTTATGTGAGGTCCATAGAGTCCTCGTCAGATTCAGGGACAGAAGGCAGGACAGTGGTGGCCGCAGAGGCCCTGGGGAGGTGACAGTGGGGGAATTTGCATTTACTGGGGGCAGGGTTTCAGTTTTGCAAGACGAAAGCGTTGTGGAGATGGTTGCACAACAACAGAAATGTACTTCATGCCAATGAAGCATGCAGTAAAAATGGTTAGGGTGGTAAATTTTATGTAATGTGTATTTCGCCACCAAAAAAAAAAAAAAAATGGGGGGAAAGAAAAAAGCCTCGCAAGCGAGTCAGGGTGTGTTACTGACCCAACACTGCCCGGGACACATCACATCAGGGTCCCCCACAGCATGGGAGCCGTGCCAGCTTTGAGATAATGAGTTCAGGCCTTACGGTTCCTGAGGTTCTGACCCTGCCCTCCGCCAGGACCAGCCAGCCCGCTCTTCTGAAAACTTGTTCTTGGACAAAGCTCCAGACACACACCACCCCCTCGCCCGCGCCAATCCTGAGCGGAGATGAAGCCAGGAAACCACAGAGAAGGCTGGGCCCACGTTCCCAAGCAGAGCCAAGAACATCAAGCCTTTGCTCGGCAGCCACCCACCACAGGGTCCCAAGCCCACCCAACATCTCCCCATTTCCCTCCCACACATGCCCCACACCTCAGCATCTCCTTCCTGCCTTTGCAGGGAGCGATGGGCTCTTGCTTCTTTGGCCCCCACTCAAACCAGCTTCTTTCCGGGGAGAAGGAGCGGAACGTGGAGAACCAGCTGGTGCAACTTCCTTCCCTCCCCTTGTCCCCCCCATGTCCGAACAATGATCTTCAACCAGTGGAAAGAGGAGGAAAGAGAGAAAACAGAGCAGGGAAGGGAAGGGAAGTCTCCCCCTCTACTTGCCTGAACATCAAACTCTTGCAGGAGGCCGGTGATGGTCTGTGGAGAGAGAGAGAGATGGTCAGTTGTGTCAGTTTCTTGGAGAAAAAAAAAAATACTGGAACACATGGGTCTCTCCCCAAGACCTGAGTCTAGTTTATACCTACCCTCCCTCCTCTGGGGGGGGCCTCTCCAATTTCCTACAAAAAAAGACTTTTATTTTTTTGTCTTGAAGAACAGCCGTCCAGCAGAAAAGTAGACACATTAGCTAGACATTTTTATTTTTATTATTTATTTATTTATTTATTTATTTATTTATTTATTTATTTTTGCGTATAGCCTTGGTAAAAAAAAGATCTGAAGGTCTAAGCTGACCACAAGCTTGAAAGATACAGGAATGTAATTGCCTATTAACCAGTTTCCCTGCCTCTGCCCACTTTTAAACTCAAACCTGATCCTGTCACTCGCCTTAAATTTCTGCCTTGGTTGTCCATCATGAGGGGTCCCGGTCACCAGGGACAGGGCGGGGGGAGCATTGGAAATGTGGCTCTGGGGAGGAGCTGCAACATTCCCAAGAGATGTTGCTGGCATGTTTCCTTTCTGGTCTAGAGACGGGAGTCCAAAGTCCTCTGAAAACTAAGCCCCAGCCAGACCCCATCACCAAGCACCAGGACGGAAGACAGCTCCACTGAGCAAAACGCAAATGAGGGGAAGGAAGTGTTCAGGGAAGCCCCTTGGGACAGCCGGAGCTGGAAGACCAGATTGCCACAGAGGCCCTGCTGCTGGAGGTTGAAATGGCTTCATGCATCCTGGACTGGGTTAAGGACATCAGGGAGTGTGGTAAATTCTGGGAGAAGCAAAGGTGGCCGATGCCCACTGTGCATGAGTGTATTGGTAGGAAGGAGCGGAAAACCCATTCTGCACAGGCCCAATCTTCAAAGTGCCGTGGCAGCCGGATGGGGGGATTGAGAACAGACGTCAGGAACTGTCCGAAGGAAGTCTGATTAAAAATGCTCCGTGGAGTCAGTGTAAGGAATTGGAAGATTTATTACCATAGAAAACCTTGGAAGGAAAGGCAAATATTCACTTTGAGATAGACATGCAACCTGCAGCTGATAATCTCTTAGGTGTTGGGTTTCGAAAACAAAATTTTCCAAAGACACCAGCAGGCTGCCTGAAAAGTATAAATACTGTGTTTAAAAACACATTTACCCTTGGACCCAGAGATGCCGCTCCTGAGAATTTACGCTGGAGTTGCACCTGCAAATGTACGAATGACGTACATCCAAGGTCCAAATGGTGCAAATATGCTGAAGCGCTGTTGGCAATTGTGAAGGGCTGGCATGACCCACACGTCCACAGACAAGGTGCTGCTCGATTAAACCCAGTGGGAGGGATGCCTGAGTGGCTCAGTGGCTGAGTGTCTGTCTGCCTTTGGCTCAGGGCGTGATCCCGGGGTCCTGGGATCGAATCCCACATCAAGCTCCTTTCAGGGAGCCTGCTTCTCCCTCTGCCTGTGTCTCTGCCTCTCTCTCTCTCTCTCTCTCTCTCTCTCTGTCTCATGAATAAATAAATAAAATCTTAAAAAATAAAATTTTAGAAAGGAAACCTGGTGGGATGCTGTGAAGCTGGAAGGGAAGAGCATGCTGCAGACTGCTGCTGGATAGAGGTCTCCAAGAGAGTTCGCTGAAATGAGTAAAGCAAAGCATGCTATGCTACTTCTCACAGCCTTTAAAAGCAAGAAATAAGAACGTGTTGATAGGTACTTGTATCCCCCGGGTTTGTTTCCTTGTTTGTTTTTGAAGACTCTGTCACAGAGCCCAACTGGAAGAGGAACTGGATTCGGAGCCTGTGCAGCCAATAGTGTGGATCGGCAAAGGACGGCCCTCCCCAATCTTTGTAAATAAAGTTTTATTGGAACATGACAAGCCCGTTTGCTCACAGACTGTCGCTGGCCGCTCGCGTGTCGTAACTGTAAAGCTGAGTGGTTGCAACAGACTGAACGGCGGGCAAAGCCTGCGCTATTCATAGTTGGCCCTTTACAGAGAACATGGGCAGAGCCCCGGTGCAGAACGGTAACAGGGATTCTAAAGCACGACCCGCCCCGGGCCTGGCTTCTACTCCTCGTTGGGCCACTGATCTGAATGAACTTGGGTGATCCCCTTCCCATCACAGACCAGTGTCTGTATCTGCACAATGGGGACAGAGATGATGGCCTCACACATTCATAATGAGAAGCCCATGAAATAATGGGCCTAAGATGCAGCAGCGACAGGCAAGGCCACAAAAGAACCAGAAGAACAGTCCATTGACCGAAGGCAGCTGGCTGGCCTGGGTTTGGCCCCATGCCTCATGTTTTGCAACTATGTGACGGAGGACACATTAACTTCCGGAGGCTTCACTTTCCCTTCTGTAAAATGGGAACAATCACAGAACCCAGCACCTAACCAGTCACAGTCTTATTCCGTCATTTGGCACGTCCTAACCCTGAGATACAGCCCAGCGGCAAGCAGGCGCGACGACGCGCTTGAGGCCTGTTAATCCTTATTTTTTAAAGCATCCAGTTGGCCTTCGAATAACTTCACTTTTGAGGCTGAGCCTTCCGTTTTCAACAAGATGTATCGTCACAGGCAGTTACACAGCCCAGTAAGAACCAGCAGGTGAATGTGGTTTAAAACACAATGCCGAGGGCGCAAACGTGAAGGCTTTTTCCAGGCCAGCCCCAGCTGGAGGACAGGCACCTCTGTTTCCCACAGGGAGGCCTCCTCAGCATGGAAGGTCTGACCACAAGGACAAGGAACCTCTTGTCCTTCTGCATTCTTGGAAATTAGGAAGCAGTGGACACGTGCCTATGAGCGTGCACGTGAGCGGAGGGAGCCAGGAGTGTTGTCCACTCACCTCCCCTTTCTCCACCAAAGGCTTCACCTCAGCGAGGTCCACGTCCTGCAGCTCCCGAGACATGTCCCTGCTGTCACCTGCCTGCGAAGGGACAAAGGCCACAGGTCAGCACTTCCCACTGAGAGATGCTGCCCCAAGGAAGCAAATCTGAGGCCCGGGGATGAGCCCCCCTCTGTGGGCAGCATATTACAGTACAAGGCCCCCCCATCCCACTGGCCATTCTTGGATTGGAGGCTGGGAGGGCAAGAGGTAGATTTTCTGGAAGAGGAAACCAAGGCTCATGGATACAACTACCTTCCTGATGAACATTCAAAGCCAGGTCCTCACACAGTCCCCAGGCCCAACCGCCACATCCAGGATGTTCCTCGTGGCATTTTTTTTAAATTAAATTATAATTGGCATACAATATTCCATTTGTTTCAGGTATACAGTAGGAGGGCGGGTGGATGGTTTTACACATTATGAAATGACGTAGGTGGCTAAGTGGGTGAGCATCTGCCTTTGGTTCAGGTTGTGATCCCGAGGTCCTGGGATCAAGTCCCACATCAGGTTCCGTGCAGGGAGCCTGCTTCTCCCTCAGCCTATGTCTCTGCCTCTCTCTGTGTGTGTCTTTCATGAATAAATAAAATCTTAAAAAAAAAAATGAAATGATCACCACAGCAGGTTTGGCCACCATACCAAGCGATTACAATACTATTGACCACAGTCCCTGTGCTGCTATAGAAAACGTAGACAGTAAGCCCTGTGATGATGATCTAAGCAATATTTTGGGGTGTCTTCTCAGGCAAGGGCAACAAAAACAAAAATAAACAAGACTACATCTTGCTGCATTTTAGGAGATCCACACCACTGATCCTAAAGTCAGGCAGCCCCAGGTTGACAACCAGAGGGGATGGAAAGTCACAGGAGGCTCCCCACGCACAGGCTTGGCACGAGCTTCATCCCCCTTGGTCCTCAAAGTAGCCCTAACAGAGGGGTAGTCATACAGACATCCCATGTCCGCCTGTGTGCAGGGTTCCCTGCTCCGTGCTGGTGCTGGTAAGGACCAAGCCAGGACAGGGGATACCTCAAGCTCAAGAGGTCTAAACACTCAGAGGGATTCTAAAAGTAAAAGGATTTTCAAGGCAGCAGGTGGTGGGCGAGAGGGTGTGGGAAGAGCAAGGTGGGGGGAGGCACAACGTGAGGGGATAGACGGTGTAGAGTGGGTGATGTGGAAGCCGGAGGTGGATGGACATAGGGGTTGGCCCGGATTGTCAGGAGGAGATGGAGGGTTGAGATGCAAGTCCTGCCAGTGGAGCAGGATGGGTACCGTCTAGGTTGGGCGTCCTCCGAGATGTGACCGGTGTCTTTGCGTACGCTCTCCGAGGTGCGCTTGGCGCCCTGTGTGCGGTGGTAGAGGCTGCGGGCCAGGGGTGACCCCTTGGATCCCGGCAGTGGCTTGAGCGCATGCTGGGGCATTGGATGGGGTTCGCCTTCATGGTCGCCTGCCTATTTGGTCCCGGGTATGCGTCTGTGACCTCTTCCCAGTACATTGTACTCCGGGGACTGGGGAGGTGCTAGCGGTCCCGGGTGGCCGTCGGTGATCCTCGAGGTCATTCGTGAGGTGACCTAGCCGTGAGGTTCGGCCGCCGGCCACTGTGAGCTCACTGGTCTATGGCCCGCCAGAGCCTGGCAGGAGCAGAGCTCTGGAGCGGGGAAGCTTCGGGGGTGACATGTACTGAGCCTGCTCCTGGGAACTTAATCTGGAAGTGGGAGTTGCCATCATTTATTCTCAGAGCCTGATAATCAAACTAGAAGAATGAGGAGCCCACCGACGCCAGAGTGGGGGCCAAAGACCCCCCCCAAAAGGTGGGTTAGTTAAATGCTGGAGAGGCGGGAGCAGGAGTGGGGGGGGGGCAGCGGGGTGGGGAGAGGCACCAGGTCAAAGACACAGGCCTTCAGAATCAGGAAATTTGGTGAAAAAGAGCCTGACTAAACTAAACCCCTCACTAAATCCCATCTTCTGGGGAGGGATGGTGGCCCCACGTTGCGGAACTCTCCGCAATTCCAGCCTGGGGCCCTCTGGAGACGCAGCCCCAAGAACCCACGAGAATCCTCGTGGTGAGTCACCTCTCAGAGGTGAGCAGACAACAGACCTGGGACCACCCTGAAACCCGCCCCCCTCCCCCCGCCGGTGCCAACACACGGCATTCCGTGGGCAGATCCCCTGGGATGCTCTGGTCTGGGGCCCCAGCACGATTTTCCCCGGTAGATAACTAGCCCCACAAGAATGCCTTTATGCAGCCTTTGGAGTCTATGCTCGAGAACATTCTGAAAACAAAGTCGGTTTTATGTTTGTGAGCATTCCTGGGCAGCTGCCAGCTCGGAGGCAGGAGGCATGAAAAGCAGAGGTCTGTCGGCCTTGCTAACTCAGCGTGTTCATGGTCCCGAGACCCTGGCCGTGGGACACCTCGCCTACACAGCCTAAGGAGCCTTCCAGAAGCCCAGGGCTCCGGCAATGCCACCCTTCACGCTGGGGATGGAAGGTGGGTGGGGGGTCCCCACAGGGAGGGCAGCCCCACCTGCAGGCTCCCCGGGACAGGGAGCCCATCTGTCTTGCTCCGCAAGTTGGGCCACGGCTCGCTTGCGGAATACATCAACGGGTTTTAAGCAGCTGAACAGCAATGCTTGTGTTTGAATTCACTCTTAAATCATCACTAAACCACAAGAGTGAAAGGACCTTAAATGGGGTTACGTTTACATCGACGCAAGCACACGCCATGGTTCAGCCCGGTGGGGTCCCTCCTGGCTCCCAACGCCCGGATCACACTAGCATCGCAGCCTCCCCCGGCTCCCCCATTCTCCTTCAGAACAGAAAAGAGTTTGATCTCTTTTCTGAAGCCTCTTACCCCCCCCCCCCACACACACACCTCCTCTTCCTCCCTGCAACCCAGCTTCCCAGCCCACATGAGGCAGCAGGCCAAACACTGGCCAGTCTCTCTCTTAAATATCAAATACTTGAGAATCACTGATTTTTTTTTTTTTTGGAAGCCCTGGAGGGCCATGGGGAGACTCAGGCGAGGCCCCCGAGAACTATGGCAGTGTTTCTCTGAACAAACAGGTGATTCTGTCCCCGGGGGACATACAGCTATGTCCAGAGACGTCTGTGATGGTCATGACTGGGGGATGCTACTGGTATCTCGTGGGTGGGGGGCAGGCAGGCTGCAAATCTTCCTACACCACACGGGACGGTACCCAGAGTACAATCATCAATAGCGCCGAGGCAGAGACACACTGGTGTAGACCGAGAAGCTTCCATAAGCGTCCTGGGACTCTGAGGTCTGCAGAGAGATTGGATAGAGCAGAGGAAGCTTCTGTACTATTTGTCCCCCGGGAGAGTGGGGGTGCTGGGGGTCCAGGGCAGCCTGTGGTTAATGGATGCAAACTGCCCAGCAAGGGAGGGCTCTGCCAGGACCTCCAGCTGGGTCACTGCCCTTCGCTAACCAAGCCTGCTGAGATGCTCCTTGCACTTTGAACCCTACCGCCCACCCCCCGGCCGCTGGTGGTCAGCCTGCCAGGGCCTGGAAGACAGTTGACTGCTTCCAGCCCAATTCTACTGACTTGGGCCAGTCCAGGGCCAGCCCTCGCCCTGTTTGCTCTCCCTTGCCTGAATCAAAACACGTTGCAAACTTTTCTCTTAGAACCTGTTTGTCTAAAAGAAATCTTAGAAGGAAGCTCAATATAGAAGAACAAATTTACAAAAAAACAAACAAAAACAAACAAAAAAATCCAAAAAGCTCACATGCTTTGGACGAAGTCAGGGAAAGGGCCGAACTGCTGGATCCCCTAGCAGCCCCTTGTCCTCCCCACCCCACCACGGGCCCCCACCGCCCCTGCCTCCATGCCCACCCTCAAACACCTTCTGAGTTCCTAGAAGCACAGACTGAAACAGTGATTCATTCAGAGGTTGCTTCCTGTACTAGGTTCTCCTGCCCAGCACCAAGCGAAGTGTGACAGTACCTGGAAGAGCTCTGCTGACCAGACCTCACTAGGTAGCAAGTTGGGGACCTGGTCATGAGCAGACCCAGCCCTGGCCCACTGAGCTTGCAGACCTGCTTGCCCACTAGGCCCAGTCACGGCCGCCCCCTCTCCCCCACCAGGCCGCACTCTCCGGGAGTCACACAGCCCCATGTACCAGCACCACCACCACCATCACTCTATCAAGGAGGAAGTGGAAGCCTCAGGGGTTGAGGGACAGTCCTGAAACGACCCAGAGCCAGCGCAGATGGAGTGGCTGGGATGGAGAGGGCTCCGATGCTCACAGTTACTTCCTTATCACGCTTTTCCTAAAAAAGTTTTTTCTATGGGTTTCAGATCCACAGCAGCAAGACCACACAGCTCATTCAAGGAAGCAGTTCCAGCAGCACTGGGCATGCTGCTCTGTAGGCAACCGTGATTTCCTTCACCAGGAGGGAGGGATGGGTGGGGGGGTAGCCAGGTTTGGGGAGCTCTGGCTGGTGCCCTCACCCCTGCCCACCCACCAGGCGCTGCTCGCCACTCAGGGCCCAAGATCAGGGGGTCCTCTACCCCAGGTCCCAACTTGGCTCAGCAGATTCTCTCCCTGGGCTTGAGGTGGAATGCTGGATGCCAGTCCCAGCCCCTCTCGGACACCTCCTGGAAAGTCCCAACACAGAACATCAGGTCGCAAAGGGCCAAGGTAACCTTTCAGTGGGACAGAGTGACAGGGCAAGGACACTGGGCATAGTGGGTGGGAGCCCTCTGGCGCCACATCACATGATGATGGATGTGCAGTATCTGCCAACCACGTCTCTAAGAAGCACAGACCAAAGTTCCTCCAGACAGGGAACTGGGGCAGGACAGGTCTCTGGCTAAAACTCCAACCAGGGCCAAAACTGGGCTCCGGGTCCCAGTGCCAGTTGCCAGACTGGTTCACACCACCACCTCCTCCTTTCCTACCTGCTCTCTGCAGAAGGAATTCAGAGGAAACTCATGGCAGAAAAGTAGAAGGTCACCTGGAGCTGGGGGAAGGCTTGAGGGTCAGGTGGGGGCAACATCATTTATGAGCTCTGCACCCCCTACCG